TGAAACTCTATCTCAGATTTGTTTAATTCCAGTCCATAATTTCATAAATATTTTTTTATATTTCAAAACTAATATATATTAAATTTTAATAAATTAAAATAAAATAATATAATAAAAATCAGATATACAGTTTTTTTTTCTAAAATGGGTATACTTAAATTTCAAGAAAATGTATTATTTAAAGTTTATATAGTTATTTATGATGTATACAATTATATTTATCAAATAACATGTCAATTTAAACGAAATAATAGTATGAAAATTATTGTGATATTGTGTGAAATTTCAACTTCTTTATATTTGTGTTTGGAGATAAATAATTCCAAAGATTCAAAGAATAACGTTGTGTCTGCAGAACCCGTCAATAATGATATTCAAGAAATTGTATGTCATTGAATGGGGCTAGTGAAAAATCTTATAAAAACATTCCTCACAATTAAGAGAAGTATCCAACGCCCAATTTTTCTTTATCTATATCAATACATATATTTGCATTTAATATACAAAAATCAATTTTCATTTTTATTTATAACAATATATATATATATATATATATAATTAAAATTATAAAAAACATTAAAGTTTAATTCATTAATATACAATAACATGATAAAAAATATGGACATAGAACTTGAAAGTGTATCTATTTTCAATATTATTTCTTATTTTTTTGGATCGAAAAACTTGTTTAATAAATTTTAAGCATATGACATTTTAATAAATATATTACTTGTAATTAAATATTATATATATATACATACATATATATATATATATATATATATATATATATATATATTAAATAGATTTAAACTTGCTTAAAGCAAACATCACTACACATAGTCCTAAATATCATTATTTTTCAAATAAAAAATATCGTCTATTAATAAATATGAATGATTAATTTATTAAACACAGTTTATTAAATAAAATTAACTAGCATTCTTAATTAATATATATAGGTAATTCATTTATTAGACCATGGTAACTTTAAATTAAAAAAATACCTTTTATACGTATTTTTTTGTCTGTGGTCTTTTTAAAGTGTAAGCATATTTTTTATTTAATTATGAGTTTTTTTAGCGAACTAGTTTTATTCATATTGGATAAGGGAATAATAACCCGTTAAATTCTAAATCCACATAAACAATTAGTAAAACATATGCTTGTTTATTCTTAGAAAATATATATTAAGTTCGGTGACGAAACTGAACTCATTAAAAAATTCCTTCAAATAATTGATTTTATATATTTATAATTAAATATATCAATTTTTAAAAATAGTATTAATATAATTTTTTGAGTAAGAATTAAATATTTTAATTTTTCTAATAAAAAAATATTTTCATCAGTTTTTTTTGAAGCATTTGTTTTTTGTAAAATAGTTAAAGAATATTAATTTTTTATTTTGTATATAAACATTCACAGACCATCCCAACAAACCTCTGTTCCTAATTAAATTATACTTTTGAATCTATTTGAAAATATTAAATTTACAACCTTTTAATTTTGTATTTTGAAGAGGAGAGAAGTATATGTTATTATAATTATAATTCTGAATTTTTTATATTTTTTTCATTTGTGTTGTAACATGTCCCAGGACATTTTACATTTGAGTTTGATTTGATACAAAGATTCGACCCTAATAAGGGTTTGTGTCTTCAATGGATATGGGTCCCACCCGGGCTTGACTTGAAAGGTGGAAGTCTCTTCCCGTGGTCCCACACACCAACATTGATTTTCAGTTTCATTTGGATTGCATTTGCATTTCAGGACACAAAATCAAATTTGGTACTCATCAATGAAATAAAAACTCTTCCTTGGTCCGCACACTATTTTTTTTTCTTCTTCTCTCTTTGTGTTTGTGGAGTCCAGTTATACAATACTTTTCTACTTTCAACTTTTCTTATTCCTCTACTCCACTCTAAAATAATTTTGTCATCTCAATAATCAAATTACATTTCATAATTCATGTAAATTAACAACCTTAAATTTATGTTCTAACTACCTTAAATATATGTGCTAAATTTAACTACCCTCCATGTTTCTAAAACACCATTTATAATTCATTCATCACCTCGAATCTTTTGTCAACAAGTTGAAATGTTATTCTAGTAACGATAAAAGTTTCATATGACATTTAATTACTAACAAAACTTCATAATAATGATGAAAATTTTATCCGTGAGCATGCATGGAATTTGTTTGAGGTCCGATTTGAAAATACTTTCTCATTCCATCTATTTATTATACGGTGTTTAGATGATTTATTTCATAAAATAATTTTAAATTATTTATGATAACATGTTTTATTTAAATAAAAAATTTGAAAATTAAAATATTGAAAGATTAAATTATGATTTACAGGTCATAAGTTTGAAGTTCAAGTTCAAGGGTTGCGGCTGTGAATGGCTTTTTTAGTAATTTTTATTTTTTTTGAATTTATAAAAAAAGGAATAATTTTAAAAAGAAGAACACGTGGGAACTTGTAAACACGCACACCAAAGCTTTGTTATAGGCACGCGCCCTACATAGATTCCCCGCCGCCACTCTTGCTCCTTTTTTTATTCCTTTACGTTCCTTTTTTTTTCATTACTCACTTCACAAAACTTTTTTTTTTTTTAATTACTTCTACATATTATCATAAACTTTACCTTATAATACGCACTTAATTAATAATTACCACCGACCATAGTTGTATAATCTATATTCTCTTCTTTCTAAAATATAAATAATTTTTTATTTTTAATTATATTTTTATTTTTATTTAAAATAATATTTTTACATATAATTAGAGTAACTAATTCAGTATCAATTATATTAAAATTAACACAGTAATAATTTTAAATTACAAAATTTTAAACTAAATTTAGATTTATTGAATATTTTCAACCAGTGTGTAACAATATTAAAAGAAACTTGAAACTTGAATGGAGGGAATAACTTTTTCCCTAAATTAATTAACGAAGAAGAAACTTGAAAAGGATGTTATGTTTTATGCAGGAATTTTATAATATTACATATATTTCAATATTTTATACAAAAGATCGTTTATGTTAAAATTATTAAAGTAGATCATTAACTAATATTTTAGAAATTCGAACTCTAATGGATTCAAATTAATAACGCCCAGGTATTGCTTAAATGATTTGTTTGTGTTATAATATTATTTACACTTAAACATTTTATAGAGAAACTTCAATTCGATATTAAAATTGTTAAAGTAGATGTATAAATTGATTTGGTAGATTCTAAAATAAATTTCACATGTTAATACTAAAAATATATATTTTTTATGTCTTATTTTCAGAACATAAAAAAAAATAATAATAATAATAAGGTGCATTGTTTCTACGATCGACTAATTAATGTCACATCATACGTTCGGTAAAAAAATTTATAATTGACATATTTAACTTAGAATAAAGAATACAATGACAGAATACACATTTTTCATGTATTTTATAAGTGCAATAAGTTAATTTCTATATTTAATTAGTTTCAAAGTTGACAAATTAGCTTGAATGGTTAAATTATAAAATTTCACAGATGTAAAACGACATTGAAAAAAAAATCTGACTACGGAGTGATGATGAAAGTAACAATTTATTTAAAAGATCAAAACAATGCATGCAATGATATTTCACAAAACACTATTTGGTCTAATTTAGTCAAATAACATTAAAATAGTCAAATAAATTGAAAGCTATCTTAAAAGCCTCCTTAACACACTACCATTTGGGCTGACAAGCTTTTAGATAAAGTTAAAAAAAGAAAATATAATTTAATTCCATTCAGAAAATATTAAAAACACGAGAATAGAGTAATTTTTAATAATTAATAAGATATATAAACATGTAAGAAAATGAATCCATAAAGATTTTATTAATTTTAATATTAGTGAAAACAGTGCGTATATGTTACTAAGAAACTTCCCATTCAGAGCTCATCAGAATCTGTGTTATTTTTTATTTTGTTCTGCTTTCCTCAAATATTAAAGAGAAGAATAGAAAAAAAGTTGAGGGGTGAAAGTGTGATATTACTGATGAAGAAGTTTTGATGATGGATTGGGGAGAAAGTAAATAAGTTTGGAGGCGAGTGAAAAAATGATATTGTCCGTACGAAACCCAACAAGCGTGAGACGAACTAGGGTTACTGGAGTCGTACTTTTGGTGGCATATTTTGGAACTTTAGAAAAAAAATTGTCCCTAATGCCCAACTTGAACATTGGAGCTAGGTCACCAATAATAGTGTCCCACGTCTCAAAAATTACCAATTCTTTCTCACCTTTTCTTTAGCAATCTAGAAACTTTGGAAGATAGGGGCTGGTTCAGGTCCCATGGACAAGGTTTTCAAGAGTGGGATTACTCATAATGTAATATAATAACACTTGTAGGGAAGAAAATGAAAAAAAGGTGTGTATGTGTGGAGCCAAGTGTGCTTCTCTGTAAATTATTATTTAATCATGTACCATTCTGCATCTATAATGCCCTCACTAGCTACCTACTAAAAACACGACAATGAAAATGAGAATCGAATCAAAATAAACAAAAATAAAAACAGGACAAGGTTAATAGGATCAAAGAATGAAATCATCTATTAAGAAAAGGATATATAGGTTACAGTTCTTTTCATCACCTCCATTACACAATAAAAAGGAAAAAAAAAAAAAACTGAAAAATAATCCCCAATTCCTTCTCTATCCTTATGATCCACATGGATCCTGTATACCTAGGTGTTTGCTACACATGAATAATTTATTTGATGTGTTTCTATTTTCTACTGCCAGTGCCACCTCTCTATATTTCACTATCAAACCTGGTTCTGCTCATCTGTAAAAGAATAAAACTTGAATACAGCTCTCATTTTTAGTATTGTTGATTAATTAAAATTAAAGTTTCACTTCAATAAACGTTAACTTTATAACTTTAATTAAAATACAATACTAAACTTACTTAAAGAATTGCATCCAAGTTTTATGTAGTTTGCTTTCCAATGTTTCACATGTTGTCATTCATGAGATGTTGCTCTAAGAACAACATGTTTTCAACGTTCCAAAAATTGTCAGACGAGTCCCCACCATTCTGCAAGTTCCATGGATCTAGGGGTTGCAGATCCAATCCTTGAGGGAGAAACCCAGGTGGGCTTGTGATGCAATTTGAGTAACTAGTGTGAGAGGGTTGATAATGATCTGCAGGATTGGTATTATTATTGTTGCTACTAATGGGAACACTGTAATAATCGGTGAGATCAGATTTTGTTGAGACTTGAGTCCCAAATGAGTCTGATGATGACAAAGCCGTGCTACTATTATCTGGAGTGTGACTTTGCATGACATAGGAACCCACAAAGTCATTGTTCAAAGGTGAAGGATCGATTAACCCCATTCTGTCCTTGAGATTATGAACCTCTATTTTGCTGTTGGTAAGGTTGTTCTGAGAGGTGTATGCATTGTTGGTGGTGACTGAGGCAGTTGCAGCTGCTTGAATGCGTTCCACCAGCCTCGGCATCCAAAGGTAACGCATGGTGTCCTTGAATTGTTTGCTATTCACGTCACATTTCAGTTGTTTGGCATGCTTTTGGACACGAGTTCTCCAATAGTTCTTTATCTCATTGTCCGTTCTACCAGGCAAATATTGAGCAATTTTCGACCATCTGAACCCATCAATAACAGTTTTCTTAACCAATAATCTAATCAAAATCCAAAATTGATCATAGATGCACGAGAAAGAAGAGGTGTTTTGAACGAATGCATGCATATTTGGGTTAATTTAATTACCGGTTTCCCCAGCGGGAATGGAGTTCGAGGATCAAAAGTTGTTCTTCAAGCGTGATGTTTCCACGTCGAACATCAGGACGAAGATAGTTGAGCCACCTCAATCTGCAACTCTTCCCCGTTCGTTTCAGCCCTATAATAATAATAATAATAATATTATCAACAGAAAGGTTATTATTATTTACTTATTATACAGATTGGTAAAGCACTGAGTAAAACACAACACTGCATAGGAAGGGAAAACGAAAGAGCATTCCCAACCTCCTTTATATGGCACTTTCTTTTTCTGAAACGTTAATGATTTGAGAGAGGAGGCATCAATTCATTTTCCTTTCCCTTTTTTCACAAGTGGGTGCGGCCAAGCAATTAGCACCAACCAATATTCATGAATTTTATTTTATCCCGTATGATATACAAATATGTATACGTTTATCCAAACAACAAAAAATAAACTTTGACTTTCCGAAATTCATTGGAGGCAAAAGGTAGAAGAACAAATGGAGACATGAGCAAACAGGAAGATTGAAAAATAGAAAATTTGGTGGTGATGAAGATTAAGTATATGTATACCGGCAGAGAGGGCGAGGGTGTTCCAGCGACCTTCGCCATGAGTGGCAATGTAATTGATGAGAGTGAGGTCCTCATCGACGGTCCAAGGGCCTCTTCGAAGGTCCATCTCGTCCTCACTCAAAAGGGTGTTGCTGGTTCTTCTTCCTTTTTCATCCATTGATTACACAAGTTCTGTGTAACAAAGCAAAAGAGGTTTGTTTGTTGTTTTGTGTTGAAGTTTGGTGGGGGATGGGGATAGAGATAGGGAGAGAAAAGGGTGTTGTGTTGTGTTGGATTGTTACAAGGGAGATAAAGAAGGGTGGGGGGTCTTATAAATAGGGAAGGAGGGGGTTTTGAAAATGTGGGAAAGAAGAGAGAGAGAGAGAGAGAAGTGAAGAAGAATTGAGGAGATGAATAATTAAGTAAGGTTTAAAAATGTATAAGTAATTTGGATCATAATTAATTGGAGTTTGTAAGTATGAGAGTTTGACTTTCTTTCCTCTTTTGTTGTGTGCGCGTGGATACCAAGGCCAAAAACACTCTCAATTTTAAGCCATTTTAAGTTACCGGTTTTTGTCTGACCGTGGAGTCCCTCCTCCTCACCACTTACTTGCATTTTTTTTTTTTTTATACATTTTATAAAGAACCTCTTTTTTAATAAATTATTTTATTGTTATTAAATAAAATATAAATTAATAACCATATATTGTTATTATGTATCTCTTTTATTGTGTAACTTCTTGAAACAAATCTCATATAATGTTTATAACTTATTTTTATATAAATAAATAAAATTACATATGAAAAAAAATAATAATAATAATAAGATACTTGAAAGGTTGGTTGAGTTAATTAAGATTATGTAATTTGCAAAGAGAATAAAATTGAGAGATATTTTTATATTTACATTGTAACTTAATTTAGGTATAGAGTTATTAAAAAGAGTAATACAACACAAGATTTGACAACCCTGTTTATATCACTGTAAATATTTGTTGAAAATGGTATACCATAATTAATAGATAAAACATTTCATGGGGACTACAATCTCATTACTGAAGTTGACAAGATTGCTTTACCCATTTGACAAAAGAAAACCATTTTGAATAGTAACTATATAGTTCTTCAACTTGAAAGATTTATAGGAATTAAGCCAAGTTCATTCAACAACAAAATTTTAATCACTTTTTTCAGTTCTTCTTTTCATTCGATCCAAGCAGCTCCATCACCAAAAACCTGCTCTACTCTTAGACGAGGTGATGAGACACACACTGAACAATCTTTGCATAAATAGTGTAGTATAAGAGTGAGTTTGCATCAGGTAGGTGAAATCCTTAGGGACTTGATTGAAGGAGGAAGTGTTAATAAATATGGTTTTAATATTGGGGTGAGGATGTATATATTACCCTACCAGTTCAGGCACTAATCTCAGGCATTGCATGTGCGACACAACTATGGGATTTGTATGAAAGTGAAGTTGAAAGTGGAGTGCAGTACTCTGTAGTGTAATTATAAAACTCTCACTCTCTCTGAGTAATGGTGCAAATTAAGGCCAAGGTTCTACATGTTATATGTCATGTGCCTCGTCTAGGACGGCTACAATCAAATTTTCATTTACTACCCTTTTGAATTTTCATCACCTTTCCAGGGACCATTTTCCATATTCCATCTTAACCAAATCTCATTTTTATTTATTTATTTATTTTTATTATCACGGTTATATCATTTCTTCTTTCTTTCATCATGGTTTTCTTAGTTGACCCACTTGTAGTATTCTGAATAGAACCTACATACATAACTACTACTCTATTGTTTCTCCTTTCTTTTTCTCTCCATCAGATATTTATATTTTTCACCTTGTTCTAAATAAAAGATTTAGTTTCCCCCAGGAATATAGACCAGAAATCGATTATTGATGGGCACCTTGAATGAAACTTTGTTCTCACGTTACGTTTTCAGAAAAAGAAAACACTGTTGACAGGAATTAATTAAAATGCAAAAATTATCAATATGAAGTCTACAAAATTAAACAAGATTTGATGCATGTATAATTGCATTAAAACAAATTTAATGGAAATAATGATCGAAATCAAGTAAATATATGCTATGCATGTGTATGAAAAAAAAGTATTAATCTTTGTCAAATCACATCATCAGGGTTAGTCCCATCTATGGCTGTGGGCACACCCTATATTTCTCTATCCTACATTTTTTTTCTAAAAAGCATTAAACTTTGTAAAGTCCAAATTTTAATATTTTTTTACCAAAAATGAACGTTATAGATCTAGTTCATATTTCAACAAAAATAGAATACAACCCATTAAATAAATTGTATACTTTATTAAATAATTTTTTTATAATATTTCCATAAAATGAGTATTATGTTCATTTGTTCGTATTTTAATATTTCGAAAGGTTTTCATGGTGGTGTGACCATTCTAGCAGAGGCTGAATGCAGCACCACTTACCATCTACAATGGCTTGATTCATGGCTGGACCTTGGCTTTAGGAACATTCTTTCTGAAGATTATTCTCTTCCCTCCCTGGACCCCATTTTGAAAGATAATCACAGAGGCAATAACTGTGGAACTGGTTGGCCGAACATGGTGTCTCATAGAGTAACAAATAAAAATTTGATTCATTTATAAATTGGAATGAAACGTAGATTTATGGTTTGTTATTTTCAGTTGAATATAAAATTATATTTATCTGGGTTTCATCAAGTTATCAATGAATTGTGTTTATTCTAATATTTTTTAAAACAGGATGAATATCAGTTTAACACATATATATTTAGGATTTTAAGATTTAATCAAATTTAATAAAATTAATATTTTTATCATATCATAATATAATAAATATATAAATTTATTGATAATAATATTTTTATAAAAGAAAAATAATTATAATAAGAACAAAAGTCATTATTATATTCTAAATAATAATTAAGATTAAAAAAATATAAAATATAGTGTAAAATAAAAAAATTATGAAAGTAAAATAAAAATATAATTAAATAAATATTATTTAAAATTAATATAACTCACATGAGAAAAATAAAGATTTTAAAAAAATAAAGTTTTATATATGAAAAAATATTTTTTAAAAATTATGTAATTTTTAATTTTGTTTTAGTAAAATTTATTCAAACCAAAAATTCAACAATTTTTTTTATTTTATATTGATTTTTCAATTTATATTAATTAAACTAAAATTTGATCATCTAAACATAGATGAGTTATTTTCAAAACAGTATTCTTTTTTTCTTTTATTTTAAGAATATGATTTTTTTTAATGTTTAAATCAAACCAATATAAGATTAAAGGAAAATAATTTTCACACTTAAAATAGTCATTAATTTGCGGACAAAGTGTGCAAGCATAAAATGGTAATAGAATATATAAAACATTGTTTTTCTCCGAATTAAACAAATTATATTTTTTGAGGTTTTGATATTAGTAAGTATACCAAGGGGGAAGGATTTGATTTCACTTCTAACATTTTCTTTATCATTCAATGTGTATTTTTATATTTTATATTTTTTTAAGATTTTATCTCCAATTATCAATATGTATAAAATCAAATTGATAAAAAAAAATCATTCAAGATAGAATTGTTTAGTCATGATCAAACTCTAGTCAACCTGTATTAAAAAAATCATAATAATTAAATAATGCACAATAATTTTAAAACAAAATAGTATGGTGCTAAAAACTAAAATAAATTTGTAATATTCAAAGTACTTATATATTTTTTGACAATATGTTATGTCACTTTTCTAAAAGACAAAAAATAAACTTAATTAATAAAGCCAAGATATCATAATTAATTTAAATTAAATGTTCAACCATATTTATCAATATTTGTTAATGATGATAAATTTATACTGAATAAAAAAAAGACAAAAAATATTTTAGGTTATTTTTTATTTAAAATATTTTGAAATATTGTATTATTAAATAATTTGTAATTAAACCAATTTAAACTGATTTTTGCCCAATTTCCCGGTTTTTGACTGTTTTACCCGCTTTTTCGATTCCTTTAAAGTTAATTTTGAAGGTTTTTTAAACTATTATTTTGAAAACATAGCTAATTATGCATCACTCATCTCACGTCAACGCTATATTATATTAAAATTACAAATATTTTAAGTCATTATATAGAATATTTTATTGATTTTTATATAAAAAATAAAACCATGTTTGTAACGACCTTATCCTTAAAAAAATAGTTTTTTTTTTTTGTGATTTTCAATTTCATTGACAAGTTCCACTACTTTAACTTTTAATATAAAACATAATATTAAAAAAATGAATTTTTTACTTGAAAATAACTTGAGCAAATGGACATTCTGGGATTAACTAATTTAACAAATAATATACTTTTTAAAAATAACAAAAATTGAGAGATTGTGCTAATATGAAAAGTTTATCAAATATATGCTCTTAATTTTTTGTTGGTCTTTTAGAATTATGCTTGGATCTTTAATTTGTGTCTGGAAAAAAAGTGATTTAATTAAGAACTTCATTAATACTGCATTGTGTTGAGAAATGGAGAGAATAAGACAAAATTGTATTAATGTAGGTTGTGTTAAGTGATACAGAAGGAACGATGACATAAATTTAAAAACAATGAACTATAAAATACAATTTATCATTTTTTTTTTAATATTTTCTATAAATTTCCTTAACCAATTACCTTTAACTTTTAATTTTTTTTTAGCCATTAACATTTGTGTATTTATTTTTATTAAATTTATTTCTGTGATATCTAGCAAACAAACCCTAAAACTTAAAAGCCGTGGGCTTAGTTTTTCTGACAAAATAGTTATTAATAGAATCAATTAATGTTTTACATTCTTACCATAACATTATAGTAAAACCCAATATTTGTTAAAATTATAATAATTAAGTATATAAAAATATTTGTATATACATAAATAAATGTACATATAATTACATCGCAAACATGATGATCACAATTATATTATTGATTTAACAGTTTGATGTAATTAACATCATACTTTACTAAAAAGTTAATTAAAAAGTTTAACACATACAATATCTTATGACCTAAAAGAAAGATATGAAATATAATATGAGTTAGCTTTTGTATATCATCTTAATATTGTTTTGAAAAACAAAAGGAAGAGAGAAGAAGATGGATTCCATGAATGTC